ATATGGAATATTGTTTCCCTCTTGCTTGGAGGATGGGTCACCTCTTGGGCTAATAAGTTCTCTGAATTTAGTGCTGAGATAGTGTCTAGCACACAGCCGGGTCTAAAACCTGTTTGTTGACCGCATGAATAAAGCATTAATAACTCTGCTGCCAATACTAAAATACTGGTCCTTTATAGAACACTTACCAAGGGCCAGGCACTGTGAATACACAGAAAGAACTTAGGAAAGTGTCTGCCACTCAACACATTTTCTTCCTGTCTTTGTAAGGATTACCCCACTTGGTCCTACAATTGCCCTCTGAGGAGACCATTCGTTTCCTAAGTGAGGAGCAAGCTCAGAGACATTGCTTCCCCTGCCCGGAGTCACACAGCTGGCAGACAGCTCCAGCAGGGGCGACCCCAAGGCTCACTGCTTCCGTAGCTGTTTTTCAATGTCTCTCTACCTTACTGAACCAAATAGGATTTCTAACATTTTTTGCTTTCATTTAAACTAAACTAGTTTTTCTTTTCTGATTATAAACATGTATGTACTCTGTGTAACCAAAAATCAGGCACTACAGAAAGTGGAAGTCTGATTTTTTTAAGACTTCTTAGAATGTTCTCTCCAGATCTATGGCAACTCTGCCCAGGGGCAGCAGGACCTGGAAAACACGGCCCTTTTCAGCTCTTCTTTCCAGGTTTTGTCTCCAGGTCAGCAAGTATGTGTGTTCCATTGGGAGCTTTCTTTCTAGATCCCCCCACCCACATTGGTCTTCAGGGAGAACTGAGGGAGGTGCGGGGCTAATACAACTACTTGCCCCGACCTGCGTTTCCCATAAAGGCTTGTTTTCAGTTCCACAGACTGGCCTCCCCCCAGCCAGGCCTGAGGTGTTTTCTGATCATTGGTTTCTTGCTGGGGTTTGGGTGCAATAAGGAAGTTGTCAAGTGAAACTGTTTTTTTCCAGGGTTGCTGAGCTAAGTGTCCTATCAGTGGCAGAGGCGAAGCATAGCAGGTGGAGGCAAGTGGGCCGGCCCTTGGCTGCGGGGATTGGCTGTCCGTGAGCTCAGCTCCGGGAGATACAGTATATATGCCCGTATGCATATATATGACCAAAGCATCTTCTGAGACACTCTGAACATTGCCAGCAGCAAATAGCAGCATCTTGTCCCTGGGAGAGCTGGACCTGACCCCTCATCAGACACAACTTCCATGCAGCAGGGAGCAGTGCCTAACACAGAGCCCCTCCTCCGGGGATCCCAGCCCAGGGTGGCCCAGGACAGGAGCAACTTCTGCGTCTGAGGTTGGTTGAACAGTTTCTTCTGCCTTGGGCTCTGGGGTAGTGGGTAAGGTATCTTGGGGTCCTGAGAGGAGAATAGTCCTGGGAGTCAGATCCTGAGCCCAGTCCCAATTCCTGCTGGGCCCACCCTGTGCCTCAGTTTCCTTATTTGTAAAAAGATGAAGCCGGGTTCAATGACATGATCTCAACTAGGTGTTACTCGAAGAGCTCTGCACTAAGTTGGTCTTAAAAGCTCTGTACTCAAGTCCCGATCCTGCTTATTAGCTGCCACCCTGAGCAAGGAACTTCACTTCCTTGGGCCTCAGTTTCCTCATCTGTAGAAGGGGGGTAGCATTACATACCTCACCTGCTAGTTTCCCTGAGGATGTGGTGGAGGCCGAGTTACAGACTTTATGTGAAGGTACACAGCAGAGGGGCCCTCCAGGCAAATGGGAGATGTTGTTATTACTGTAGTTGGATGAAAGTTCTGTGATTTTTGAGGTTTTTGGAAGTTAGTCCCAGGACAGGGAGAGCTTATGAAAAGAACTCTGGTGGCCTCCTGCTCTCTCTGATGAGGATTTGAGGGGTTGGGGGAGTATAAGCCATGGCCCCACCCACTCCGCATGCAGCATTGCACTGCCCGTGGTCCTGGGTGGAGGACACGATGTGGGGGGCGGGCACAGGTGTCTACATCCGGGTACACGTGGACGTGGGGCTCTGTGCACGGGTCACAGCAAGCATGTGTGCGAATGTGAAATAGCATTCTCCGTCAGCGTGAAACAGCAGGGTCGCTCCCCTCTAAGTCCACGTGCGCACGCGGGTGTGTACCGGTGCTTGCGTGAGGCCATTCGGTGTAGGAGAGAGACAGGATTTAGAATCTAGAGACGTGGATTCGAATCTCCACCCTCTGCTTCTGGCCATGGGCCTTGGGCAAATCTCTTAATGGTTCAGAGCCTCAGTCCGCCACTGCTGGCCCGCGGACAGGAGTAAATGGGAGAATGTAAATGAAAAGGCTCTCCGGATGCCCGTGGCAGCATAAAGGTGAGCTGGTTTGTGTTTGCACATATCTGTGCACGAGTGTGCCCCTGTGATCCATGGGTGTCTGTGGTGTCGACTGTGGGCCCACGGGTGTGTGCCACACGCACACGGCCCCTCTGAGCGCCGGCGTGGGTGTGTAGCAGATGGCTCTTTGCTAAACACCTCTTGTGTGAAGTGTAGGGGTGCAGAAGGGGAGTGCAAAATACCTTCATGAAATGGCACTGAGCAGTGACAGAATAACTGGCCAGATGACTAAATTAGAGAGCAGTATGTAGACAAGGTTAGAGCACAATTTAGCAAATAAACCAAACACAATTAGCTGGGTGTGGTGGCACGTGCCCGTAGTCCCAGCTACTCAGGAGGCTGAGGCAGGAGGATCACTTGAGGTCAGGAGTTTGAGGTTGCTGTGAGCTGTGATGACACCACTGCACCCTAGCCCGGGTGACAGAGCGAAACTGTCTCAAAAGAAAAAAAAAGGGAGTAAAGAAAAAAGAAAATAAACCAAATGCAGCAGGACGGTGCTTGGGAAAAATAGGCGAACTTCCTGCTCCAGGGTCAGCTTTGTGCTTTCTCTGGGCGGCTGTTGTTGTTAAACACGTCACCGGTGTGTGTCATGACTTACCAAAAGTCCTGTGATCTTCGGATCACTCAAGTATTTCTGAGCTCATTTGGACTTTGCTCTGAAATCCACTCTCTGCCAAGGCAATAAACAAGTTTACAAGAGCAGCTGGGTTTCCGTGCAATGACCCCGCTGCTGTCTTCGTGTTACTGGCCTGGGAGCACGACCTGGGCGGGGTGGGGTTCCCCCACAATCTGGCCAAATGTAGGTGAGCACCTTGGGCACAAAACAAGAAAGAAAGAGGAAAGGAAAAGAAACCCTCGCTTTGATGAATTCTAGATAAGCAGAATTTTACACTTGGAAAAAGTCTTGAGCGATTCAATTTTGGCACATATAGAACGGGGGAGGTTGTTAATATTAAAACGCAGTCTTCTCAGGGCGTAGAGACTCTAAGAGTCTGAGGACACAACATCCACAGGGGTTCTCCGGGTGTCTCCCTGGGGGCGGTGGGCTTGCCCTCGCTGGCCAGCCACCCTCGCTGGGTCTTTGGAACATTAGGGAGGAGGAGCAGTCAGAGAGGGTGGGGGAGAGACAGGTGGCCCAGAGGGGACACACTCACAGAAGAAGGAAGCGGATACGGTATCAAATGCTGTAGCCCTTTAGGGAGGATGAGAAATGGAAAGAGATCACTGGATTTGGAATTAGGAAGCCCTGGGAGATCCTGGAATCTCTCCTCACTGGGGACACTTCAGGATGGCTAAGGCTGCCCGTCACCCGGCCCCTCCCTGCCTCTGCACCCAGCAGCTACTGTGTGGCTCCTTTCCTGAGTGTCTCCCACCTCCCTCTGGGCTAGGGCAATGGCTATTCCAGGCAGGGGGTGGCCAAATCAAGGCCATTTTCTTGAGAAAACATCAAGAGGGAAAACATTTTGCTGGTGGCATTGTGTTGATGTTCTGATAAGAAGTAGCAGCATGTCCTCTGAATACAGTAAGAGGATACTGCAACCATCAGCATGGCGAGAACCGTTTCCATAGCAATGACAGCTTCTGAAAGATCGCTGCGCCTCTCTTCCCACTAGCCGGGGAAGGATGCTCTGGCCCTCTGCGCTCGGTCTCCCGGAGCTACGTTAGTGCAAGAAGAACAGGGGCTGAGCTGAACGAGAGTGTCCTGTGTGTTCGGCTGGTTTTGTGGTTTTGTTATTGAACGGCTTCTCTGCCAACCACATCCAATTTGCCCCGACCACGGGAACATAAGAAAAAAGTAGAGAGAACCCTGACACTGTTTATGTTTCTGGCTCAGCTTATTTTGATCTTAAAATCAGAGAGAACTTCAACCTAAATGTATCTTCTCCTAAGACCGTGTGCTACTAAAGAGAGAGCAGACGCAGGGGAGCAGTGCATTGCGGTCGCCACTTCGTACGCACATCCCCACTTCTGCCCATTCGAAGGGGACCAGAGTGTTCTTTTTGGGGACACACACACTGCATCTTGTTCATGATTACATCCCTAGCACCGAGCATGATTTCTGGGGCATAGTGCGTGCTTATTAAATGTTTGTTGAAAGAAATAAATGAGAACAAACACAAATATTTCCCTCTACCCTATTTCAGAAGCACAACCAGCCTCTGAGGCTTCAGGAGCTTAGTGAATTTCCATATGAGGCACAGGCACCGATTGCTAAAAGCTTCCCTGTAGCCCAGATGTTCCTTTTAAGGAACATTAAACAACAAACAAAGCCTTTCAAATTGCCTGCCTCCTCCCTGGCCCAATCTCTCGTTTCCACCGAGGCGGTCCTAGCGTGGACGCCCAGCTGTGCTGGTGGTACCCAGTGGCCTTTGGTCTCGGTGACCCGGGGCTGCGGCGTCGCCCAGTCCTTCCTCCCGCGACGGGCGCCGAGGGAGAGGAGGTGCCCTGAATGTGACCGTCACCTTCAAGTGTTTCTTCGTGTCCCCGTGTCTTTTCTTCTATGTATCTTCTTCACATTCCCATAGATTTCAGACATTTGAAATGGTAATTATAGATTCTTATTTCTGCCTCTAAGCTGAACACAGCAGTAGATACATTTTAGAGTGAACGAACCGGTTGGCGAGGGCAGGAGATACGACGGAGATACATGATTAACATCCCTTGCCTCTAAATACTACGTAGTCAGTGCGAGCTAAACCTATAATGACAAATTACAGTAGGCAACCCACGGTCCCAAGCTTGGTAAGAGCCTCTGGGAACTCAGGTTTGGGATTCAAAGCCACTGTTTAATTTTCTGTTATCATCCACCAACGGGCAAAGGGTTTCTGACAATTTTGGCAAAACTGGAAAGCCCCGGGAGTTTCCGATTAAAGACACACAGATCGAGTGCCCTGCCCACACCCGGGCCTGCTCACCATGCTGCCCAGGGCGGGCGGTTCCTTCGTCCTTTCCACCGGCAGCCGCTCCACTCTGGCTGGAGAACGGAAGGGCCCTGCCGCGCTGAGATGGGACTCGCTGCGCGTTGACTGCACACCCAAAGATGTGTACGTCCCGTACGGTTCACTAAGCGTTTGTGTTACGCATCTATTCGTTGATTTAGTGAGAACTTAGCGAGTGCCAGTGACGTGCCAGACACCGTTCTAGGCACTCAGGACACCAGACCTAGCAACATGGACAAAGGGGACTTTTACAACAAAATTTTTATTTTAAATCCCCCACTGCGGCTGAGCGGGGGAGTAAGGAGGGCAAGAGGACAGCAGGGAGACCGCTAAGGAGGCGGTGGGAACAGTCCGGGCGAGCGAGGGCACTGAGGCCAGCGCGGGGGAGGAAGGGGTCAGGCACGACTCCACGGTTTGGCCCGAGCGGTGGGAAGAACAGAGTTGCCATTTACGGAGCTGCCTCGTAAAATACTCACGACAGCCCTCCAGATAGGGCGGGTCTCAGGCATGTTTCAGGTGGGGACGGAGGCCCAGAAAAGGGGTGTGAGTTGCCCAAAGTCCCCAGGCCAGGAAGGGGCAGGACCGGCCTCTGGCTCCAGCCGTGTTTGTTTCCCGTTGCTGCTGTAACAAAACGCCACAGCTCAGGGGCTCTGGAACAGCACGAAGTGATGATCTTACAGTCCTGGAGGTTAGAAGTCCACACTCAGTCTCGATGGACTGGAACCAAGGTGCGGGCAGGGCCGAGTCCCTTCTGGAGGCTCGGCAGGGGCTGCTGACCAGCCGTGAGATCTGGGCACCATCTCCCTGGGGTTCTCTGGAAAATGGGGACAATGACACCTCCTTGCCCCGGGGTCGCTGAGGAATTTAGACAACGGCTTTGAGAAGGCGTCAGCACGAGAGGTTGACGTGGTCCACACTACCGGACGGGGGAAGGGCCCACTGGCCAGCACTGCGCCAGCCTGGCGGTTTCGGGTGGCCTGTCCTAAAGGAACCTTTGTTTTGATTGTAGCCCGATGGAGAACCCGAGGCGCCCCAGGAAGCCGGTGGCGGACGGGAGAGCCAGGTCTCTGGACAGGCCACAAGCCCCCAGGAAAGTCTCAGAGGCACGAGACTGCCAGCGCGGTTCCCCGCCCGCTGCCTCCTCCAGGAAGGTGCTTCGCCGCACGGCCAGTGACGGGGCCGCGCGTCCTGAGAGCCCGGCTGGGTCTGCCGAGGCTGGGGGCACCGCGGCCGCAGCCCTCGCTTCAGAGGAGGCCGGGGCGTTTCCCCCCCGCGAGCAGAGGCCCCCGCAAGACACCAAGAAGGACAAGGGCCCGCAAGACACCAAGAAGGACAAGGGCCCGCGGCGGGCCCAGCAGGGGTGGCTGAAGACGGTGCTGAACTTCCTCCTGGGGGCCGGCCCTGAGGAGCCCAGGGAAAGGGCCAGCAGGAGGCCGAAGGGGAAGGAGGGCCTGCCCCAGCCCGCGGAGCCCCCGCAGGCACCGGGGGAGCCGGCCCTCGGGAAGGGAGCCCACGACAGGAAGGCCGGCCGCAGGAAGCATGGCCGCAAGAGCCGCGTGGCCGAGGACACCGAGGGCGCTGACGCTGAGGCGGCCGCAGGCCCAGGGGCAGGGCGGTCCCGGGCAGCTGCTGCCCTGCGC